GTCTGTGGGTTGGACCAAAATTAATAATTAATAATTTAATGTAATTATTTAGTTTCAATTTTAATTTAATATTATTTAATCAGTATTTTGATTTAGTAGTGTACTGTAAGGATTTAGGGTCATTCATTGGCATTACTTTAGGTGTGAATTTGTGGGTCACAGTGATGAAGAAGAAGTATAAAGTCTTAGTTGATAGTCAGCGGTGTGTATGTCTCTGTTTCTCCCTGTCTGTGTTTGTCCCTCTCGTTCTAGCTGACCATTTACCTAAATTATGTACCAACTAGCTCAACTTCAGCCTGTTATTCAGTTCCTTTCTAGTTATTTGAGCTCCCCTTTTGTATGTTTTGATTCACTTGACCCACGGACTCTGGGCCTTTTGATCGCCACCACAACCTGCCGGACGAGGATGCTTTCACGCAGCGTCGCGAAGAAGATAATTCTCGACGATGTTCGGCAGTTTTTCGGGGCTGTTGCACCGTCGCAAGGACACGCCATGCGGGTAACAAAGATACTCCGGTCAGAAACGTGGCGCCAACAACGCCTTCTCACTGACTTCCTGCGTGCTAAGTGCCCTACTCACCAAGTCTTCAGAAACCAACTGGCGATGGCACGATATTCTACAGAGAGCCTGTGGAAATCCTGGTTTCTTCCTGCCCTGAAGCAACATCTCGCACTGAGGAAAGAACACCACGCCAAAAGATGGCCACTCCAGACCTTTGGTCACGTCCATCTCTCACAAGCGACAACATCCATTCTCGAACAAGGACCGAAGTATGCTGCACCACCGCAGCTAGAGGCGGTAGACAAGGTTGCCCTTGTTCGCACCATTGCGTCCCGAGCTCACGAAGAGCAGAAATCACAAATCATCACGGAAGGCATTGAGTGCTTCGCAAGCCAAAGGTGCTCGGCACGTCCAGGCTTGGGCTTTGGCAGCGCGGTACAAGAACTACGAAGCAAAGATCTTCGGCTTTGTGTCTCAGATAAGGAAGGAGGTTTCGTAGTCCTTGATGCTGGGACCTACGGAGAGAAGGCCAATGCTGCGGTAGCAAAGAACTTCATCCAGGTTGATGGGAAACGAAGCCAAAAAGCGAAGCTTGCCGTTAAGCGGCTGCTTGAAGATCACAATCTACCCAGCCTAGGCACCAAAGTGAAGGCTACGAAGGGCGGTCACCTTGACGTTTTCTTCTCGGCCAAAACACATAAGGTGGGGGTACCGTTTCGTGCCATTGTCTCCGAGAGGAAAACCTGGCAAGCTCATGTGTCAACGTATCTTGCAAAGCACCTGTCCCAGGTGCATTGCGATGACCCGTACAGAATTTCCAACTCAGAAGAGCTCATTGCCTATCTTCAAGTACATGGACCCCAGGTAGTATCTGGATTTTCCATCGACATCCAGGATATGTACTATTCTATTCCTCACACTAGCCTCATGCCAATTCTACGAGAGACCATCGAGGAACACGGCGTAACGCCTTTTCAAACCGCAGCAGGGATTAGCATAGACGCCTTCTTCGAACTGCTCGGGGTATATTTAACGGCGACCGTGATCTCGTATGAAGGTCTAGACTACGTCCAAAGAAGTGGGATATGCATTGGGTCTAGAGTTGCACCACATCTATGCGATCTGTTCTTGGCGGCGTGTGGTAGGCACATCCAATCCACACTGAACGATGCTAGAGTAAAAGCCATCTTCAGGTGCGTGGACGACTTCTTGATCCTGTGCAGCACAGACGTCGAAAGTGAAGAAAACGGATGCAGGAGCACGATCATGAAAACATTCCACGAATGTTGCCCCGACCTGCTCTTCACTCATGAACTACCCGTGGACAAGTCTATTAAGTTCCTGGACCTCGCACTTGAGTTTAAGGATGGACATGTATGCTGGAGGTACGAACCTCGTTCCAGTAAAGGTTTTCTTCCGTTTGCATCCTGCCATTCGAAAACCGTAAAACGGAGTGTTGCCAACACGGCACTCGTGTCAGCGCTGCGCAAGTCATGCAACCATCAAGCTGACGCCAGCTTTCAGAAGCAGATGGCCCGGCTTCGTGACTCCGGGTACCCAGGTGTCCTCCTTGGAGCCGTATGTGAGGCAATTTGCAGGAAATTTTCAAGAGGATCACCCAGTACCGAGCGAGACAGACAGACTTCACGAGCGAACTTCGCAGTAGTCCCCTACATCCACGGTGTCACCCACCGGCTCAAAAATATCGCTGCACGACAAAACGTCAGCCTGGTTTGCTCGGCACCGAACAGAGGGAATTCTATGTGCCGCAAAGTAAATCGGGCCACGAACCACCAGCCAACCTGCAATACTGCACACAGGAATAAGTACACCATGTGCCAGACCGGTGTGGTATACAAGATTCCTATGTCATGTGGGAGCTGCTACATTGGACAGACGGGACGCCGCGTTAACGACAGTCAGGGAGCACGCGGCGTCGGTGCAAGGCACGGGAGCTGGGCACCTTGCTGCCCATTGCCGCACGTGCGGGTGCAGGCCACGGTTTAGTAGCGTCTCCATTATTAACAGACACAGGAATGCTTTCGCGCGCGAGATCCTCGAGGCCCTGGCCGTTGAGCAAACCGGCGACGACTGCGTGAGCATGCCCTCCATCACGGTCAGCAAGAAAGAAAGACAGTTTTTGCAGTGTGGCACGGCGCCGTGAAAGGGACTAGGAGGGTTATGTTTCGGCGGTGGTCTGTGGGTTGGACCAAAATTAATAATTAATAATTTAATGTAATTATTTAGTTTCAATTTTAATTTATATTATTTAATCAGTATTTTGATTTAGTAGTGTACTGTAAGGATTTAGGGTCATTCATTGGCATTACTTTAGGTGTGAATTTGTGGGTCAGTGATGAAGAAGTATAAAGTCTTAGCTGATAGTCAGCGGTGTGTATGTCTCTGTTTCTCCCTGTCTGTGTTTGTCCCTCTCGTTCTAGCTGGCCATTTACCTAAATTATGTACCAACTAGCTCAACTTCAGCCTGTTACTCTATAACAAAAGTGCCCTCGAGTGACAGAGCCGCCATCTTATAAAGAATCCGAAGAGATGTGATAGCTGCGCCGCTTGCGCCAAACTGCGCAAAAGCTGCGACACCCTGCTACATTTTGCCGAAATGCGTTGAGTTTGCAACAACCTTGAACCAAAACCTAATTGCACTTTATTAATAGTTGAGCTATAATAACTCGAACCCGGCTACGCGAACGGATCGTTATGGTAGACTTGGTGCGGATTTTTAAAACTCTCTATTACCGCCTGTAATGATGTGCTACTTGATTTTATCTCTGTATAAAACGCTGACAGTTATCGGGAGTTTCACCGTATTTCTCATGTTTGCGGTTTGTTCTGACGGGTAATCTTGCTCTGTTGAGTTCCCTTCCACATTGCGCGGTGCACTCTAGTGAATTGACAACCGGGAAGTAGGGAACACGATTGGCGCATCTTAGATCGCCACTACGCATCATTGTCCTAAGGAGAAAGCACCCCTCCAACGCGGGAAGCCACGCACGGAATCGTCAAATATATTACATAATAAAAAGCATCTTGGTGTGTAATGAGGGAACAACTGTACCTTGCAGTAATGTTTTAATAATAAAATTACAGCTGGCAATAATAGACTACAATATTATGCTGACATCTGATTTACCGAATCCAATATTTCGGAGATATATTCGGCTATTGCGAGAAGTTAATAGGTTAATTTGTTTATGTAAACTCTTTGTTTATGTTTTATTTTTATATAGGTTTCTTCTGTTCGTTGTGGCACTCAGTATAAGTAAATCAAAATTAAATTACCTGTAGCAGTGGATGGGAGCTGGGAATAACCTTAACGAGTTCGGCTGGATATTTTGAAACCATCATTGATGTTTATGATCAAATGACAAACGCTCTGTTTTTATCTGAATTAGGAATAGCAGTTTTATTAGAACTTTAACGAAACATGAGTTTCGTTTGTTCAGCCCTTTTTTATAGCAACATTATTTCAGTGGAATTCACAATTGGGGTTACCTTTCATTTCCTACCTAAAATAACTATTCACAGCAGAGCATACTGTACTTCCTCAATCAGCGTGGCTTGTGCCTGTACAAGGGACTAAAAAGCTAAACATCTAGTGCGTTCGTGGAACTCAAGACTGCCATGCAATTGAAGCTAACAAAAGATTGCACACGAGTCCGAAGGCAGACAGAGATTGCTTTATATTTAGACAGGCCAGCACGTGAATCTTAAATTCATTTTCTAGTGGTATGGATGACAATAAAATGAGTTCTTATGATCCAAAATGCACGTTTGGCTGCTTCTAGAGCTGCACCAAAATGTCTTAGGCCAATCACATCGCAGCAGTTGTCTTTTAGGCAAGAGACATTTGTACAATTGAGGAGTTTGCCGTCGCTCAAGCATTTTACCTATTTGTTCGTGGCGAAAAAATCTACCAGTGGACCATTCCTTTTTCTGCCCTGGTGCCTCCCTGGCACAGAAAAGTTATTAGGCTGCCATTGCATCCCTGGACTTAGATTTCTTTCGTCAATTCTTGCGAACCGAAAGACTGTCACTAAATCTTCCTCTGGGAAGTCTTGCCAACATATTGTCCTCATCTTCATTTATTTTTCTTCACGACCAGCGGAGGGTATACACATGCTAAGGTGAAATGCAACCTCCCCATTCAGCGTACCATTACGGTACGCTGGCAGGAACGTAACTGAAGACACTAACAGTTTAAATTAGGCACAAGCTACGGAGTAAAGTTTTATTACTACTGATCTCTTATGATGCGTAATAAAGATGTAGAGTTGCTTCTGTATAAGAGCACACGCACACTATAGAAAGAAATCGGAGCATGAACCCATATCGATGAATCTCATCGATCTTATTTTAAAGGGTTTGCTACCGAAGCTGCTTCTGAGATTGCGGTACGATCTTGTAATCGTCCACTTTCCCTGGCAGGAGAACCTCAGCAAACGGACCTTTAGAACGGCTGAGATACAAAGGCTGCACTTACTCGGTTCAGCCTGGGAGCTCCGGACCTCGTTGTGTGCCCGGTACCTCGCCCGGAAGCCCTGCAGGTTCACGATGTCATCCGAGTGGAAGTGGACCATCATGGTATTCCCGGTCGACATGAGCTCCAGGGAGCTCTTTTGGCTCTCCCGGCAGAAGCGACCGAGAGATTTGCTTTCTGCAAATAGACGAAAAGATACACAAACCAGTTTGTTCTGGCCGTTAGCGTCACTCGGTAATACGCCATAATGTACAAGGTGTCTGAAAAAAATTTATAAGGTTTTTTTTCACAGCAAAAATTAACTAGGCAGCGCCGAACGCTCATTCCCGCCCAAAGTTAGCGTTAGAGGTCACAACCAGACGCCACAATTTCCGCCCGATCCGATACCTTACTCAAAAGTTATGAGTGATTTTCTGAAAATTGTAATTAGAAAATGGAGCCAATTTTTGCCCGCTTTCGGTTTCTCGTGCCATAGAGCCCCATGTATTCGAAAACTCCGTCGGGCGCCATTTTCCCGTTGAAATTTTCAAAAAATCACATAACTTTTGATTAACGTAGCGGATCGGGTTGAAACTTTGCCATCTGGTTATGACCTCTAGTGCTACCTTTGAGCAGAGAATGAGCGTTCGGCGATACCTAGTTTAATTTTTTAGTAAAAAAATCCTGAAAATTTTTTTTTGTGACACAATCCACATTGTAGTCAAGGCCACAATATCACGAAGAAGCCTCTGCTCCTTGACGGGGTTAAACTCGAAGAACGACACTTGCACATGTCTTTAGTTTTATGCCAGCGTTTATACAAATAGAATGTTCTAAAAAAAGGACCGGGCCCTATTACAACCTGCATTACCTTAATACCAGAAGAATTGTATATATATAGAACTGCTAAAACACTGCAAATAATGAAACCAGAAAATAAGGAAGAATCCCTCCATTCAACAATAGAATATTGTCAGGAAAATTCTATATACGTCTTGAAAGTCAACTTTTGCGACCTTCCGCACGTCTCATCAAGATTGCACGTGACAGAGACTAGTCATAAAAAGATATCACCACGCCTACGTTGGTGACAAAGATACCTGATGTCTTAGAAAGATAATAAACTTCTTTGATCAATGGGGCAAAGTGAAGTGTAGTAATGAACAGAAATCAAAATGTCGATATTACGTATGAGCGCGTACATTCACAGATGCATTGAGGTATAGTGTCTGGCTGCGTTTAATGTACATCAACCTGTTGTTTTTGCAAATTTCACATATTCGGATATTCAGCATTACTAAAACATTAAAGTGGGCTAGCTGAATAAGCATGATAAACAATAAATAGCGCAAAGGACAGACACGGAAAGAACACGAAGGCGAGACTATTGAGTTGTATGTATATTTAGAAAGCCGAAAGTTAGTCTGCCTCAATGCGCGACTCGTCTCTCAGCTGTAGATGAGAAATTTAGCCAGTGCAGCACAGCCGTTAGAGCGGAGTATTTAACGTGCACGACACAGTAGTGATACGCGACCGCACACCAGTCGCGTATCGAAGATCGAAAGGGGGACGAGAGGGGACTGAACCCAGGATTCCTGGGTTCTGTAGAGCAAGTTTTCAGTACACGCGCTACGATCGGCGGTGCGTTAATACACTCGGCCACCGATTCCTCCGACAGCGAGACTTGCGCGAACTGACAACTGTCGCTTTAGTAACTTTACAAAGGAAGAGAAGGATGTCGTGAAAATAGTGATCAGAAGTAAGAATAACGAAAGAAAGTAAAGGAAAACTTTGTTGTTCAATAAAATTTAAAGGTATTTTTCTAATTTTTTTCCCTTTAGTTTGTTGGATTATATTTTTTATTCAATGGAATTTACTGCTGAAATTTAATAATGATATATTTATTTTGAATTGCATTTGAAGACTCCTATATAGTTATCTGACTATATTTCCCTTTTTTCTCGTTTGATCACTATTTTAACTTTCATATCTTCTGCATTAAAACAACTGTTGTGAGTTAGCGCTAGTCCGATGTTCATGTTCTTGTCCGTGTGTTTGCTTCGCGCTATTTATTGTTATTACGAAAAAGGAACGGGTGTCTAGGTAAAAAACAAAGCACAATGTCGTTTTGCATCGCAAAAATAAGCTCCGGATTACCGAAATCACAAATCTCGAAGAGTGGTAGTGCTAGTGGATGGGAACAAATTTTCAAGTTTTGAAACTTTACCTTATGCAAGCAGCAAGAAATAAGCGAAGTTTGCGAAATTTTTAATAAGTGTATAGAATAAGTTTCCAACAGCAGATATTAATCTTCATTATTATCAGGCCCCGAAGGTCGCCGTTTTACAACAATGCTGTACGAAAATTACATATAAATTTTAATTCATATGACAGTATGTTTTGAGACTTTTACATCCAATCCCAAACTGTTCGGCGATACGTAATTTAGGTTCGCAATGCAATGAGCACGGCAAAATAATTGTCATTAGACTTAAAAAAAACTTCGTCATCAAGGAACAAAAAAAAACTAGATTTTTTTTTGGATGCATAACTCAACTCTGAAGAGCTAAGGCGTTAGATTTCTTATACCTGTTATATTCCACTAGGAAGGTGATAGGCATGAAATTAGAAGATCCGAAATGGCGTACCCCGGCCTTGCATGAAAACATCATAGGCTCTGTTCAACCTAATGCGCCCTTCACTATTCGTTTCATGGTGATAGTTACGCTGATTTGAAGAGTGGAGATATTACAACGTTTTACTGAAAACGTCCGGGCTCAAATATTTTTACACCCCCAAGAAATAGCCCAGTGAAATAAAAGTAGGTATATCACGAAACAAAACGACTAACGCGAGTTTTTTTTGGAACATACCCATATTCACGGTGTAAGTTGAGCCCACTTTGGAGTACTCTTTCCAAATCAACTTTGACAGAAATACGTGCGGGGTACTTTGGATCGAAAAGCTCGAACTCGCCATATGGGGAGTGCATTGCTTTAAGGTATACGTGAACCAAAATATGCACTGGTCTCAAGGAGGTAACTCAAATATAATTTAAGAAACTATCTTGTTTATTTATTTTGCGGACTCGGGTGTCTTCTAGAAGCCCGGAATGGCTACCCAACATCGTAAAGACGCGCGCTGCTTCTATTCTTTACTTGATGTCAATCAAGACCTAAATACTCAAAAGCGCGTTCAAGGTTGCGGTGAAAAATCTTCTTTAAAGCTTGTTTTCATAAGCTCAATTGTATAGCCACGGTCAACAAAATTATGAACAAGTCAGCTGTGACACAGTTATACCTAACCTGTCTCATAGTTTGGGCACGACCAATATTGATTGAGACACAGGATACGATCATTTTTATTTTTTCACGTCTCATGTGTTTCGCTATGATAGGGCGGTACGCAAACAATAGACGTAGTATGCATTGCAGAAAAAAAAAGTCTAGTAACTGATTGAAGGCCTTGAATATTTTCCAAGAAAATAACAATACACAACGCATAAAAATCCCGTTACCCATAGGATTGCTCCGGATGCCATTTTTATAAGGGCACCAATGAAAGGAAATCGCTCAACCAATGAGATGGCAATGGTTTACATTAAAATGGCGGTGACAAAGTCTCCACATGAAACACCAACGGCATACCTGATGTCGTACCACCGAAGCTTCCTAAAGGCTTCCGTTAGACGTAAACTCCGTTGCTCGTATTTCTTCTAGCCGTGACTACTCGACACCCTAACGTTTAGCACAGCATGAGCTGCGTGAGAGCTTCCCCTTTCGCGATCTAGGACTCTACTATATTGACCGTGAAACGAGCTCCTGAAATACTCTAAACGGCAGGCGATATTTCTTGAGCTTCTTATTATCGTCGAGGCTAAGGCTTTTAGACAAACATCGGCCGCCATTTCACACTTCAAAAAGGTTCTCTCTATCTTACCAGCTTCGATTTTTTCTGGCTTTGCACGTGCTGTACTGAGGTTTGTGCAACAAGTCAATTGACACACGAAGTACCGGATGCTTGCAGCTTGCTCTGAGGTAGACATCAAAATATGACAGGATCTAAAAACGCAAATCTACCATGCCTACCTATCGAAGGTCCGTCGAAGACTTCGACGAAGTCCGAGGAGCACTTGGGGTTCCTTTCCATGAAGAGCGTCTCGAACTTGAGGGCAACCTGCTCGCCTTCCTTGACGCGGATGACGGAGTAGCAGTCCGAGTTGGAGGGGTACGTGTCCGGGAAGTTGGGGCTCTCCACCACGCCTTGCCGGTTGCCGCTCTGCTCGCCCGGGCACGGAGTCATTACGTCCGATCGTCCCGCTGTGCAAACCGTCAAACACACACAGTAAATGAACAAGTAGAAACTAACAATGATTCCTTTACACAGTAGCGTTTGACTACGTTTCTCAAGGATTACGTCGAGTAAAGGCTAAGTCATCATGTAGCATTTGAATACATTTAACTACATTAGAAGGACTTACGTCGACTGCGAGTCACCGGAACATTCGTGCTCTATATGATGTGTGGTAACAAAAGGGTCGTGTCCCACACGACATGAATAGCGGGGATCACCCGGTGACCTGAGGTCATATAACAACGGAACGTAAGAAGACCTACTGAAACGCTACTCAGTGATTTGGTTCTTAAACAACACACTTCGCAAGTCACAAATTATTAAAGAAAAAAAAACACTTCAATAAATTTCAGCAGTATCATTTCCAGTGCTAGTAATTTGTATTATAAATGTCTGTTGATATACAAAGGGACAGACGAGTGCACTGAGATCGAGATAACGCTTTGTTAGTATGAGAACTCCAGCTTAAACGGTACTTTTTTAAAATCATGCTCTCCTGTCTGTGCCTTTGTCAGAATAATAGATTTTTATGAGATTGGGTGTCATATTGGGAATGAATGGCATGCGGCTTATGCGAGTTACATCTGCTACCTCTCTTGACAATTCCTACTCTACGGAAATGCTGAAAACATAATTTATTTCAAATTCTTGGTTACAATTTCACATATTACTGGCGTTTTAAATGAACGCATTATCTGGGCTGGTTCTCTGTCTGGAGCATCACGAAATGTCGCAGCTACAATTAATTACAAGGCCACTTTTGATTTCAATGGACCGTGTTCCTCGACGGTGATGAAACCACACACCTCTCCCTGAATAATCCGATACCCTAAATTTGCACAAGCGTAGCGGCTTTGAATATTTTGGTTGTTGGTGCTATATCCTCATCTGGCCGCATACCTGGTCACGTGGCGTCGTTTTACGTGGTTACATGGCTCATTGTCAGAACGAAACGCCACTCTAGGGGGACCAGCCATGTGATCATGTCGTCCTGTACGCGTCGACACGCACCACCAATAACGTAGGAGATTACACTACCTAACGCAGGTCAGTCAGAAAACTTTTGCGTTACATCGATACTTCGCATAACGCTAAAAACGCCGTCCCCTCGACAGCAGAATAAATGTGGGTGTATCTTAATCGGACGGATAGAATCGAGATACACATCATGTGTAGCGTGCATTCTGAACTCCGAAATGCTCCTCAAAGAACATCCTCTGAAACACTAAACACGCTGCACATTCTGTAGCCGGGCGTCATCCGTAGGCTTAACATATATTTAAACATTTTCATTATGTACAACAAAAGCACTTAACCATTCTCAATTTAATTTCCCGGTAGGTTTCTATAAACGCATAAACCCAGCCATTCTACGGATGTATGAGAGCGTCGAGGCCTAGTGACGTACGTATATCCGCCGATGTGTTTTTGTTCCTGCGTCATAATTTGGCATACCCGGTAGCCGGTGCCTTTGTAGGATTCCGGTTATTCCACAGTGCAAATAATAAAATGAAACATTTATTTTCACATTGCGGCTTCTCGTGTGGCCGTTCATCTTCTCAAATTCAGGAATTGCTGTAACCTCAAATACAATGAATCCAAAATGAAATATGCCTAAGCCCTGTCTAATCGATCAATTGACAAATGATAATATGCTTTTAGTTAGTTTATATCTCATTTAAGTGAATTTTCGTGCAGGTTCAGATCGCGATTTAATGGCTGCTATCATTGATATAAAGTATTAAAGCATAAAATGCTTTAAAACGCTATTCTCCCAAAGGCAAACATAAACTGTCGGTCCGTCTGTATGTCCGTTCGTGCATTTCCAGCTAAAGTTAGCGGGGAAATTGATTTCACGTGACCAATACACAAATTCAGCTTCTCCCCTAAATTTAGCGGGAATTTTATGTCACGTGACATGGCGTCACGGGACCTACAGACCAATTCAGTTTTCCCGCTAAGTTTAGCGGAAAATTTGACGTTTCATAACCTATACACCAATTCACTTTGGCCGCTAAATTTTGCGTGAAAATTGATGTGACATTAGCCGTATACCAATTCAATTTCCCCACTAAATTTTCGGAAAAATATATGTCACGCGACCTAAAGAGCTATTCATTTTTTCGCTAAATTTGGCATGAAAACTGATGTCACGTGAGTTGTACACATTCAGTTCCCCCCTTAATTTGGCTGGAAAATTGATATCACATTACCTTATACACCGTTCAGTTTCCCCGCTAAATTTGGCGACAACATTGGTGTCACATGATCTATACACCAATTCAGCTTCCCCGCTAAATGTGGCGGGAGAATTGATATTATGCGATCTATACACCGAATCAGTTTTGTGGAGAAATTTTGTTAGGAAATGGATGTCACGTGACCTCACGTCATATGAGCTATACGCTAATATAGTTGTCCCGCTAAATTTAGCGGTCAAATTGAAAATGAAAGTCCTATATTGCATTTCGTGCAGTATTGGACTTTAAACGGCCCCTGAAAAGAAAAAAAAAAACATTGAGACACGCGTGTCCAAAAATTATTTTTACGCGAAAAAAAATTTGTTAGAGCAGTATTGACGGCGCAAGACGCGGTTTATTCGGTAGTCGCCTCCTTTCACTTGTTTTTTCTCTTTGCATTTAGGCCGCGTGGAGGAGAAATGCTTCGGCTTCGCTTTCAGGACCGAGATGGTCATTACAGAATGACCCATGACGTCATGGACATTGCGCGCAGAATCTCAAATAAATGTCTGGCCGTCAATAGTACTGTATTTTTTTTTCGCGTAAATTTTTCTTTTTTGACACGCGTGTCCCAATCAATCTGTTTAAAAACATTTTTTTTTTCTTTTCAGAGGCCCTTTAAAGGTAAAGTTCGCTGTCATTTGTTTTTGTTTACTTGTAAAATATAGGTGAGACTAGACTGCCATTCTTGTATACTATAATTATCACGTTCGTAAGATTTTGGAGAAGACAAATTGCTCAAACAGTAAATACCTCAACCAACTGTAGTTGTGTTATGTGTATACTTATACAGCCGGAAGTTGATCAGCCCCGATAGACGTCTGCTATCTCGGCTATGCGGAGTGCAAGTTCGACTGCCTCTTGCACAGGGAATGCGATGATGTCAGAACGCCGAGCTCTTATTGTCTGATTATAAAAAAAATACCTCAAGACATCTATCCTTGAGGTATACTCACTATATTTTTTTAATCAATGCCAATTAGAGCTAGGCGTCGTTCTAACGTCACCACAACTCCTGCGCAAGAAGCAGGCGACTTGGTCTCCGCATATAGATTAGCAATTTTTCCAGTGCAGTAGAACCGCTAGCCCGGGTCTTTACCGTGCATCACGCAGTAGTGATACACCGCCGCACGCCGGTACGATGCTCATCCAGATCGACATGGGCAGATGTGGGTATTGAACCCAGGATCCCTGGGTTCTGCAGTGCGAGCTTTTCAAATAATCAGCAAATCTATAGGTTGCAGTATATAGTAGAAAATTTGAAAGAATATATTTTCTTAGACAAACGTTTTACTATTAATTATTCCGAGTTTGTAATATATTATGTAGCATTCCGAACCTGGACGGAAAAGTGTGCTAAAAAATTTTACAATCTTAATTCTAAAAGAAACATTAAGATATGTTATATTTATTTTTAAGTGTCCTTTGGACAACAAACGCCTAGCTTGAAATCTTAAATGATGGCAGACATCTAACTACGCCATCAAGGTTGACGAAAAGCATTCTTAATCACGGTGTTTATTTCTCTCGCCAAAGAAGACCCCCAAGCAATTTGAAGCTTAAAAAAAAACAGAATACAGTTGAGCTGGTGGATGTTCACCATGTTGCAACCGAAGCCAAGATTGGTATATGAACTAGAAACTTAAACATGGAAGGCATAAAACACATGGAAGAAGAGAACGTCTCATACGCAGCTAAAATACTTATTCATTCAGTGTGACCTCCTTATATACAGTCAGTCCGACCTCCTTATATAGTCAAACCCGTTTATAACGAACAGCAGGAAACGCTACGATGAGTTCGATGTAGCAAGTAGTTCGATATATCAAAAACCATTTACAAAGAACTTCCAATATCTGTTCGTTTTAAGTCAAGAGCTTCTCTTTCTTTTTCATCTCTTCACCTCCACCTTGTAACACCGCACTGTAAAGTTTTTTTCTGTTTTTTTTCTGCATGCGTGCAGAGTTTTTTTGTTTAGCTTATCTCCCCGTTTGAATCGCTTCCCTTCGTGAGCAGACGCTTTGAGATTAAAAGTTTTTTTTTCTGTGCGTGCATGCAGAGTTTTTTTTAGCTTTCTCACCTTCTGAATCGCTACTCTTCCCTCAATTTTGTTCTCAACTTGAGCTTTTGGAATTTTCTTTATTTCCTACATCTTTCTCGGGGAAGATACAGGCTAGAAGAGGTTTGTTTGCGCGTTTTTGGAAGCTTTCCTGGGAGGAAAAAGTTCAATATAGCCAATTTGTTGTTCGTTATAAAAAGTGCTTTTTACATGCATTTTTATTTAAATTTTTCGCGAGTAAGATATCGACAATAATTCGCTGTACGTGGGTTCGTTCTGAACGGGTTTCACTGTACTCACAACCACAAGGTCGCGAACTACACAAATTTCCCTTTGCTAAGATAGAATACACCAGGATACACAAAAGAACAACCAGATCAGGGCAACGGGATGCCCCCTCAACGAAGAAAAGGGTAACAGCTACGACAGCTTGAGCTAAACCAACTTGGGCTTAACCTCCACTTTTACAAAAAGAACATGTTCATCCTTTCTGGAACATCTGACACTACACCGCGAACAACATTGACCCTGAACATAAGTACAAAGTTCGTTGAGGTTGTTGGTCTTTGTACTCAAGTTAAGGGTCAATGTTGTTCGCGGATGTAGTGTGAAATGTTCCACGGAAAACCTTGTTTTATGAGGAAGTGGAAAGTTCGCCAAAGTTGGAAATGTTTGTCCTAGCTGTTATATTTTTCTTCGTAGAGGGGGCACCCTGTTGTTCTGTTCTGTTTGTTCCTTTGTGTGCCTTGGTGTATTGTATCCTATCAAAGGGCAAGTTCTGTGGTTGGCGACCTTTTGGCAGTACGTATATAAGTAGGTTGGACTGAGTAATTCTCTTAGCTACGTTTGAGACGGTCTCTTCTTCCCTGTGCTCTGTCCGTTCTACGTTTAAATTTATAATTCTATCCTAGACTCGGAGTAACTTACAACATTGAGGCAACTATACCTTTCAGACTAATAAGGGCAACTGAACCAAACATGCATGGGTTTGGCGGGAAACACAGACGTGGTGCCATCTCTTGGCGAGGAATGGTCAACTTGGTGCCGAAAGTTAAATTGGTATTAGTCATGTGCTCCACGCTTTTCCCCATTTCACTATTGTTAAGAAATACATTGTTACCCATTAGATCTGAGAAAAACTTGGTTATGGCACTTTTGTATAAATTGATGTGTTGCAGAAAGTTCATGTGCAAATCAGCAAACTTGTTTGCATGTTCACCCTGTGTAGTTAAATGCCTATTTCAGGCTCTTAATCATTATTTCTATTTATTTGACTATTTATCTGTTAGGTCACCTTCAACTCGTTATTATTAGGTAAAATTTGACTATATTGTGTTATTCGTGTTCTTATGGTTGAGATTGACTTCAAGTGGCTCATATTGGTTTTTGGGAACTATTGTTGACCAAATCAGTTCCACTTGGCTATGAATAACTATTAGCAACTATTATTCCAAGTTCTGAGGCATTGGTGTTTCATGGGTGGGATTAACTTAAAGTGGATGTTATTGACTACTGGAGTTTGTTCTTGCTCACATTTGCTTGAAATGGCTATACATGATTCTTGGTTGCTATTATTGGCATTTTATGCAGTAGCCTGTTAATAGATTTGAGTGACTTCAACTGGTTAGTATTGGCTCTAGGGATCTATTATTGACCTGGTATTTGAATTGGTTAATATAGTCTGTAAGCATTCATTCCTAACCTGGCTGGCTTGAATGGCCGGAAAAACAGCTATTAGTTGTTATTAGTCGCAATATTATGCCATTTCCATACATATGAATGAAAATGGCTTCAAGTGGCCATTGTTGGCAATCGGCATCTTTTCTTAGCAGAATACCTTTAAATCGCTTCAGAATGAAGATAATGGCGACTATTGACATGGTATTCATGACATTTCGAAAACCAATGGATTCAGGTGGCTACCATTGGCCACTTGAATCCAATGCACAGAAGACAAATTGTTGAAACAGTAAATGTTTCAACCAACTGTAATTGCGTTATATGTATGCTTAAGTGCAGATTATCAATTTCTTTACTGAGTCAGACCCACTTGCTGCGTTTCCGGTGAAAATAGCTAGTTGTCCACTCCCAAACACCAAGATCGCTTTTGGCTTTCGTCTCCTATTTTACTTCGGAGTTTATTGCATTAGTCTCCAAAGTATTCGATTGAAGCTTCAATCCGATTTTCATTTTGATATCAAGTAAAATTCGACTTTTTTCATCATAAATCTTATAATCTTAAACACCATGATCGCGTATCATGATACAAACTCGTATTTTTAAGTATAAAAAGATCACATTCAAGCCGTTCAGTTGATACTGCGGTAATCAAATTTCGTTCGGGCCAGAAACCAGGTTGTTTAATAACCTTCGGACGATCACAAGCTGACGCGAAAGGATGAACATGCTTTTTCCGTGGAGTGAGTGATCCTTCCTTGACTCCATGAAGTGGGGCATAATGGGGCGAGATTCCTTACTTGGTCTTCGCTGTTCCACCTCGTACTTCCTTCCCCCTGTGTTGCGAGCCGTGCCATGATTCTGGGTGCCACTAAACTGGCGACTTCTCCTGCGCACACAACAAAGCAAACCAACGTCAGGAAACACCATTCGCAACTTCATGCTACGCGACGTTGCATCAAAAGATGTCTCTCACACCATTTTTTGCGTGTTTCTGAACTCCGTTGCCCTTCGTCTTTCGCTGGAACCCTACAGCTTGTTTTCTAATGGTCTCTATACACCAACTCAACTCTCCTACGTCACGCCGCGGTGGTGGCGCGCCGGACGCACTTCCGGTCTGGGGCGGTGGGCAGAAGTCGCCGTGCCAGACATGCATTCCTGTGTTCCTTTGGAAGAAACGGGACAAAAGACGTGCCTTCTCGTCAAAATTCTGCGACGGGGGCTGTACCAAGAGAGTCTAGAAAGTTTTTGAACATCAGTTTTCATGTGTTTTTGCCCCCTCCGTTCGTCCGAGGACGTGGATAGTAGCCGTGAAAAGGGCAAACAAGACGCTGTCGAACTACGATTGCGTGTGCGGGCCACAATTTGTGGTCGCCAGATGTATTTGCTTTGTTCCAACATGAACGAGAGAAAACCCCCAAATTAACCGGACCCCTCACGGGTTCAGTGCGTCTTCAAATTCACACGGCCGCCTGATCGTTCGAAGTTTCGTCTGCTCTTTCAAAGTTGTCTGCTTTTTGTCGTCTGCTCGTTCAAACAAAAGCGGCCCGTAGACCTAACTTCGACCCGGTGATTGCAATAAGAAGTAATTGCAGGCCTCAAAAGGCTTAAGTAGGCTTGGTGTAAACAGTAGATACAAGATGTTAATTATTGGTACCGGTGGCCATCATCTACTTATTACGCTTGGTCTGTTCCCGCTTCCGATTTTCAGTATCGACGTCGATCATCGCCGCTACCTTTTACACTTTTGCAGCACGAGCGACGTCGCGACCGAAAATAGCTACAAGAACCTCATCATGGTTTTGGCGTCCATTCTGCAGCGTTCATGCGAATGAATCGCTGCACGTCAAATTATTTACGGAAAGTTTAGCGGCGTAACGAGCCTTGATAATTTCGCTCAGACGATTCAAGTGGTAAGACATTGCGATGACGACGTAGAATCGACAACTCCAACGCGAAAAAGAGTATCCATACTCACACAGACGCCGACAACGTGACATTCGAATGGTTTGTTGACGCGGGACGCGGTGCTTCTTGCCCGTACTTCATTGCGCGTGCGTTCGAACTGTCGTCTGCTCTTTCAAACTTGGCTGCTTTTTGTCTTCAGCTCGTTCAAACGACAGCGGCCCGTAAACCAAACGTTGACCCGGTAATTGCGATAAGAACTAAGTGCAGGCATCAAAACACTGTTGAAGGTTGGTTGGGGTAAGTCGGCTAAGTGTAAACAGACACAAGAATTAAGTTGTTGATCATTGTTACCAGTGGCCAGCACCGACTTGTAATGCCCGATTTTACTTGCGTTTTTTAGTATCGATGTCCACCATCTCAGCTACGGTCCACGCTTTTGCAGTCCGAGCGACGTCGCGACTGAAAATAGCGAGCAGAATCTCATCGTGGGAGTCAGGCTTTAGCGCCCATTCTGCGGCGTCCACGTGAAATGAATCGCCGCACGTCACATTATTCACGCAAAGTTTTGCCTCGATAGTTTTGCTGAAGCCGCTCAAGTAGTCAGACATTGTTAGGAGGACGTAGAATCAACAATTCCAACGCGAAAAAGAGCACGGGGACTCCCACCGGTGCCGACAACAACGCAATTCAATGGTTTGTTTATGGGCGACGGCGGGCTACTTGCCCACCATCCACCGCGCATGCGCGGCGCCGGTGGCGTCCGCTAGGGGCGCTCCGGTTTGTTTGTAAACATGAGTTGGTGTATAGCATTTTGTTTTCTCTAAACAATAGTGGCATCCCAGAACATTATGTATAGATAAGATTCCCCGTCGCACATGCCTTCCAGGAATTTGCGTAGATTTATATACAAAAGTATAAATGGAATAAAATATATTTCTACTCTAGCAGCACTGCGGTAGTGAATTACGTCCATGAATGAAACTCATTCACGGACGTAATGAAACCCAAAAACTTTTTAATAAACTTACATTTAAACGCTTCAAAACTGAAACAAGATCTACGCCTTATGAAAAACCAGTGTTGTGGGCGTTACCGAAAAAAGTAAAGAAATACGTTACTCGGTATTTGCAAAAAAGAAAAAAAGAAACGCGATACCGACCTACATTAAGTCAAAATAAAAGGAACGCATAAACCGTTATGCGTTCCTTTTATTTTGACTTAATGTAGGTCGGTATCGCGTTTCTTTTTTCTTCTTTTGCAAATACCGAGTAACGTATTTCTTTACTTTACTTTACGCGATAATTCATAATTAAGCAAAACATAACACAAAGGTGACGTCCGCAACTTTTTAACGGTAACCGTACCGTTAAAAAGTTGCGGACGTCACCTTTGTGTTATGTTTTGCTTAAATAGGAATTATCGCGCTTTACTCTTTTGACGGTACAGGTATGTGTAAGCGCCATATTTCAAGAAACATTATGGGCATCCCTAAACTGAACGTGATGATCTTATCTTTTTTGCTGTTTCACCTAAATACTCACGAGAAAAAGCGCCTACGCAAAGAGCTTGGCGCTTAGAAACAGGAAAAGAATTTAAGTGTATTTTTTTAAGACTTGGGAAGAATATGTAACCAGTAACGTAACTACGTTACACGTTTCCCAAAATAAGTAACGTAAGTGCGCTACCCGTTACTGTTTTGAAAATGTAACGAGTATGTTACAACGTCACCGGAAGATGTTACACTTTACCGGTGCCGCCGTTGCTTGTAACATATTGCCGCCAACACTGTGAAAAAACACCAGCAGGCAATCCAAAGCCAAATATATAAAGTTTGAAAAACTCATAAAAAAATTACTAGTTAAAAATCCTTGGTGCTAGTTATGGATATACGTATACAGTGCGAAATATAAACAAATATAAACACTATATGTGTATCTAAGTGAGTGGGCCGCGTACGTGGCTCAGGTGCTGTTTACCAATTTTAGCGCTTCTGGAAAGTTCATGTTAGTTCTCGGCGGTCCTGTCATGTGTTGAGACAAAAACATTCCTGAACATGACGCTTGCATAATAGCAGCCGTAACGCGCAGCTTCGAGGCACTCGCCCTTCTGGCGCGGGATTTGCCGATGCCCTTTTTGTTTTAGTTGCATGCACAGCTTCTCATTTTTAAACGCTGATTTCCACGTTTACAATTGTCTGCTATGTTTATTTGTGACAATACTTAACCCGCGAAACAGGACAAACAAATTAGCACGAAACAATTGACCTCCTTTTGAAATGTTCAAATTTTTTTTTATAATTTGTTAAGGCGCTATGTATAGTTATTTGCACAGTTGAACGGTAGGTATCGGGATGCCTCGTATAATGCGAGGAAGCGGTGCGCTGGAACAATCGTATATGGACTCCGACGCCATCGTTCATTAGCATGACCTGAACCATTTGAGAGTTACAACAGCAACATTTCAACATGTTGCGACCTTTTCTTAATGGCACGTCTAATACACTAAAGTAGAAACGGGCTTTATTTATACCTCATGTCGCCTATTTGAATGCCTAAAATACATTGATTTACAAACAGCACCGATACCTTCTACACATCTGGAGAAAGATGCACTAACAAGACTCGGATATTCGAGATAATATCACTATGAAAACAACCATGGTTTTCGGCCAAGTAATTAAAAGGTGCTACGAAATAATGGCGCATGGATGCTCTTTAAAGATCGAACACGCGACATAAACGAGTGGGAACGAGCAACGATTAAAACGGGAACGAAGATTTGCTTTACATAATTAGCACCATTGAAAAAACCCAAGCAATACTTCCGAATGCATACATCCGTAGGGAAAACTGTTGGGTAGAATGACCATGATATTTCGGAACGAACCAATAAGTAAGCTACCTAAAGTCGACGTTATTTCGCAGCAAATGCCGCATCTGTGTTTCTTCTACATCTAGTTTAGTATTGGTTTCACAAGAGCGCCTTTTCTCTTAAAGCGTTTCAAGAAGCAAAAAAAAAAAAAAGCTGTTTGGAGTGGACGTCATAGTTTGCGTCGCTGACCTCTGAGCCTACGATAACTTGGCGCGGTAGGTGACAGCGGGCTGTTCGGAATGCCGACGGGAGCTGCATGCTGATGAGCCGAACTCCCGAAGAAGCGACGTTGCGGACGGACGGCCGACCTTCCCGAAGTGTTCGCTGCCCAGTTCCGTCCCCGAGAATCGGTGAGACCGTAAACAACTTGCGCTCTTCGCGCGCTTTCTGGGTATCTATCACGCAACTTATTTTCGCGTTAAGCGCTGAAGCATCTAGACCGAAAACACGCAAGAAATGCCATGCGTATCACTCGAGGGACATTCAAACGCGCGAAGCGTTTGCACTCGACCAAAGAAAAGTGCGCAATTTAATTCATGAATCAACTGCAGCGCAGAAGTTTGAAAATACGTCACGCTTGGTCGTTTGCAATAAGTAACGTTAAAAGACTAGTTAATATATAAGGAATAAATCTTGCATAACCCTCAAATGTGGCTCCCGTTTGATAGGCACTGTTAGTGTTTTATTTCTTTTTGAGTTCCGTCGTGAGAAGCGCGCATTATCCACATCGCGATACTCAACTCGATGTTGGGGCGAAAGGTTTGCATCACTAAATTATTCTATTTCCACTCACTGTTTAAGAAAGGCACAGCTTGGCTTATTTTATGTTGTGCGCACTTATGTATTGTGCTAATGTCTCAGTCTGATCGTCTGCGGAGCGGTCATAAGGCACCTGGAAGTCGCCACTGCCTGTCTTACCTAGGCTGGCAGTGAGTATGCGCAGATGTGTTTTGAATGGAACAGCGGTTACCGGGTCACCAACGCAGAAATCGTGCACGTTCGACCGTAGTACAAGATTGAAAGAAACAACTATGCAAAAAGCTAATCTTTGTAAATAATAAAATTCGAACGTCCTTCTACAAGAATCGAACTCAGGACACCAAGATTGTG